GGGGTTGAAATGGACCAAATACTGAAAAAATGTCGGATTTTGCAGTAGCTAGCTGGTCGCAATTATAGACCAATCGACGCGGAATTTCGCACGTAGCTAGAGTTTAGGGCGGGGAAGAAGCCTACCAATTTGGGTGGTCATCGGATTATATTTAGCGGGTAAAATAGACCCTATATTTTGTATTGAAAAAAATCTAAATTTTTCATTAAACCGCGAATATTTTAAATCCCGGCGAAATCACAAAGCGATGACAGGGTTACTTCTTATCTTTACATTGATGTTAACATCCAACAAATCGGATATAGCAAAATATGTGTGATATATATGTCTATCAAAGAAGATATGCTTGAAAGATCTATTTTATGTCGAGTACGGCTGAACTGATTTCGACAGTTCTCATTAATTCAGAATGGCCTCTTGGCAGGAAACATAAAACGTCTAAAAAAATCGCATAAAAATATCTCTCTAAAGATGAAAATATGGATTTTGTAAAATTTTCTCATATTTTTTCAATTTTGTCATATTTTTGGCATATTTTCATTTTGAATTAAACATTTGGTAATATTTCTACAGCTAACAAAACTAAGTAGTTAGGATATCAGGATATCATATACAGATCGCATTTATGACCCGATCCTTACGAAATTTTGCATGGAGATAAGATGAGGGTCAGAATAAAAGCCTATTTTTTTGGAGATGATCGCCATATATTTAGGGGTTGAAATGGACCAAAAAACTGCAAAATTGTCAGCAGGTCGTAATTATCGCCCGATCCTCACGCATATTTGAATGGGGGTTACCGGATATTGCGAAAGCCAAGCAGTTTTGAATGGCCATCCAAAAATATTCAATGTGTGAAATAGTTTGCCAACTTTTGTAGACAAAATACGAACATTTTCATTCCAGTGACTTTTTGGAGAATTCACAAATACAGGAAAGACGCACTTCTGACTATTTCGTTAACGCTGATTTCGTTGAAGAATATAGTCAAATGGATGTATCTCATATAGATGCGTTTCAGTCAAAAACCAATAATAAATGTTAATCTTTTGCCACTTCTGAGAGATTATGGGTCTTTGGGAATATTGGTTCCAGATCTAGGAAGACCATTTACGTGCAACATCTGCCAATAAATTGGAAATGAGCAAATTAGTTTAAGTTGCTATTATTCGAAAATTAGAGAACGAAACCTGATGGTTTTCCTTTATTATTTGTCACAATATCTTGTGGAATTCTTTCGAGTATCTCGCCTATATAAACTGTATCGTTTATTGTAGTGTTGTAGGGTATTCAACGGTCGGCCCCGCTCGACTGTAGCCTTTGCTTACTTGTTTTTAATTTATATTTACAAAAGTTTTTCCAGTCATTTTTGAGTTATATAAAGTGAAAGTTATACTATTGGATATTTTTAAATTTTTGCGTAATAATGGGGATTTTAGATTACTTTTCAATTAAAATCAAGGACCTTAGCGCTCTTGAAATTCTGCTCAGATACAGTACAGGGTGAGATGGAAAAATTGCAACCAACTTCAGACTGTTGTCATTTCTAAAACACTCGTCCGACAGCTGTTAAAATTATTGCAGTGACATCTCGTTACATTGTTTTCAAGAGTTAAAAAGCATTTTGGTGAGAATTTTCCAAAATCTCCGGATACCAATCCGTTGGACTATTGTGTCTGGAGTATTTTGGAAAGCAAGGTTGGCACTAAAAAATACCAAAGTCTCGATCCACTCAAGCAAGCGCTTCGCCGGGAGTGGGCCAAATACCGCAGAGCAACCTTCGGGCAGCGTGTGATGGTTTCGTTGGCGGTTTGAAGGCTATAATTCGTGCCAAAGGTGACCAATTCGAACAAATCTAAACTTATTCTAAAATTTGAGGCTATTTGCGACATTTTTTGCTTTCATTCAATAAAATTAGAAAAATGTACAAATTATGGCGTTTGGCTTTGTTGAAGTTTTTTATTGGGTCATGTTGGCCCACGTTCGTTTATAGTCCGCATATACCCGTACCTCCAAATTTCCGGTATTTTGATGATTTTAGGTACTTTTTTTCGAAATTGTTTCAAATTTTATATTCAACGTAACTGTTACTACAGTTTATGAGAAAAATTCTCGTGTGTAGGTCCTTATCTTTGTATAGACCCCATATAACGACACCTCCCGATAGTCGGTATTTTAATGATTTTAGCGACATTATATACGGAATTGTTTCACATTTAGTAATAGAAGTTCGCAATGACGGAAAATTGTGTATGCAGGTCCACGTCGCCCTAGCGAATCTTTTTGGACATTTTTCAAGTTTTTCCAAATGGTGGAGGGAATTAAAAATCGGCCCGGCCGGACTTAGCTTGTTTTTTACTTGTATCTTTAAATTTTTTTTCAACTATTGTGTGGAAGGTACAAGAACGAGTGGTTCAATATTGTACATTTTCGTATGCAAACTAAGTCGTTTCTTAATATTGTAACGTTGTTTTCTCCTCGGTCGGAGTAAGCTCAGACGCAGCCATTGTCATCATAAGAACCCACTAAACCCTTTACTTTGTGGAAAAATAAGGCTTTTTATTGATTTAAATACTATATGGCAATCTATTCGTATTTAAATGCGATAATATCGATTTAATAGCTATTTTGGAGTATTGACTTCAGAGATACACGGGATTACAATAAATAGCTGTTCAGGTACAATTGATGATCGAGAAACCGACCTTTGCGACAGTAGGGAATGTTGGTGTTGAGATCTCGTTTCTTGAAGATTTGTAGATAATCGGAATGCAATGATGATCTTCGGTTTGAAGACGATTTGAAGATAATCTTCAACTCTAAGGGATCGACGTCGGGCTCAGAAGAAGATGTCATGAAGATGTCCGTGTTATAGACGATTTAAAGATAATTGGGAATTCTTATGAATGGAAGTCGGATGTCCGGGGAATACGATGATGTTTTTCGGATTGTTGACAATTGGAAGATAATCGGCAACTCTGATGGATGGATGTTCGGGTTGTAGATGATTTTAAGATATTCGGAAATTCTAATGGATGAACGTCAGGTGTCCGTGGATTACGATCATCGGGATGTAGACTATTTGAAGATAATCGGGAACTCTGTTGAATGGTCGTCGGATTGGTATCCGGAGATTTTAGTGCGCTGGATATGAAGCGAGGAACCTCATTTTGTACCCATTCTTGGGAGGCGCGTGCTGAGTGCGATGGTACTGAGTTCTGTTGGAATGTCCATTGTCTGCGGCCAAAATGTTTGCGTGCCCAAGGCTTTAATACATTAAGATTTGTTTAGATTTGTTCGAATTGGTCACCTTAGGTACGAATTATGGCCTTCGAACGGCAAATGAAACCGTCACACACTGCCCGAATGTTGCTCTGCGGTATTTTGGTCCATTCCCGGCTAAGCGCTTGCTTGAGGTGATCCGCACATTGATATTTTTTAGCGCCAACCTTGCATTCCAAAATACTCCAGAAACAATAGTCCAATGGATTGCTATCCGGAGATTTTGGTGGCAATTGTGCGCTGGAAATGAAGCGAGGAACCTCATTTCGTTACCATTCTTGGGTGGCGCGTTCTCAGTGCGATGGTACTGAGTCCTGTTGGCATGCCCAAGGTCTGCGGGCAAAATGCGTTCCCAAGGCTTTGATACACCCTCCAGAATATTTTCGCGATAATATTCGGCATTTATTCTGAAGCCACGATCGATTAATACGACCGGAGAGCGACAATCGGCTGTTATGGCGGCCCAAACCATCACCTTGGCCGGCGCTTGAGTTCCGGTGGCCAACCAAAGGTGTCCATTTTCAGCTGACCTCTTTGGCAAGTAAACACGATCATTTTCTTTGTTAACAAACTGCTGGACAACGAATGTTTTCTCATCGGAGAAAACCAAATTCGGCTGTTCAACACTTCCGGCCAAGCGAAGCAACTCTTTAGCTCTTTTGAGTCTATTTTCTTTCTGTTGCAGTTTTTCTTGCACTTTTGGAATTTCAAAGGCCTTACATCATTTTTCAATATTTGCCGAATGGAATTTTGCGATATGATCAGCTCACGAGCTATTTTTCGGCCACTGGGACACGGGTTCCGATTAAGTCGCTTCTTTATTTTTCGAACCATTTCTGCTGATGTTGCTGTTTTCTTTCGTCCACTTCCTTGACCTCAAGCTACGCTACCAGCATCACGGTAACGAGCGATGGTACGAGACACAAAAGATTTATTTACATTTAAATGCTGGAGTACTCTAACGATAGCCATTTGTGGCTTTCCAGCCAAATATAAAGAAATCACACTATCACGCTTGAATTCCATCACGAATAACCTTTTTTTCTGGGAAATTCTCACGAAAATGCTTTTGTACGCTTGTAAGCAATATATTGAGTTGTTACTGGAATAATTTTAAAACTTGTCGGACGAGTGGACTAAAAATGAGAGCAGTCTAAAGTTGGTTGCAGATTTTTCATCTCACCCTGTATGCATGGTATACCCTTGAGCTTCATTTTAGGTTTCTTTTTTGTCAGAGTCTTTAGGAAGACCTGTTCTGCAGACCTGTGGCATTTTGAACGTTTTCATTACAATTTCAACCAACGATTGTACTTGTTTTGAACTTCATGAGTCTTTTACAAAAAATTCTCGAAAATATTAATAGCACGCAAGTAACAACCTCTGCTTTTCTCACACATGCATGCCAACTAAATTTCCCTCGAAAAATTAAACACAATTTTCGCCCACATATTTGTCAATCTGCCAACTAGTGATTATGTCTACAATTTGTTCGCAAATTAATTTGTAATTTTATTACATTGCTACTAATTGGCTATTAATAGGGTTTTCATTATTTAATAAAAACTAAAAACAAAACAAAAAAAAAAAAAAAGAAAAGCAATGGTGTTTTTTTTTATGAAAAATGATGCATGTAACATTATTATATTTATGCATATTCCCTTTTTTCTACAATTTGATTTATTCGGGATATATATATTTTTTTTGTTTCGACAACTTACCTCTTGTTTTGTTATATAAATTGGCTTATTTACTATTATCCAGACAGTACTCTCCCAACAGCCGGGATGTGTGGTGGATCCTTCGTATGTTATATAATGATCGGTATTTGGCAGTAGAGCACGTACAGACAAATGTCGAATGGGCGTTGAAAAACCTGCAAAAAAATGCGTGCATGTATGAGTTTCGGGAAACCAACAACAACAACCAAATTATATAAATATATTTAAAATTATTTATTCATGCAAGGGAATTCCAATTATAGCTATTTGCACGGCATGGCGGAACGTGTTTAGAAAAGTAAAAGTATAATGGAATCATATTAGCTTAGTTGGTAGAGAATTTAATATTAGTAAAAATATTGGAATATTTTGCATGCGATTTAAAATTATATTATATGTTTTCAGTGTGGGAAAGCCCATTGCAAAATTGAAGTTTTATTATATAATGTCTGAAAGGTGGTTTCTTTGAAGAAGTCCTTAAGTAATATCCATATATGTACCATGAAATAAAGACATTTGTAACATTGTCGATTTATGCGATGATTTTTGTAATTGTAATATCATCCTTTACAATATTTAATATTTGAATCACTTTTCTCTGGTAAATTATCCGTTTGTACCTATACTGTTAAGGGTTGCCCATATGCTAATGTTAAAACAATATTAATAAGTTAGAAATCAATTTGGTCGGACGTGGCATAACGTATAAGTTATTATACCCTCCACCATAGTATGGAGGGTATATTAAGTTTGTCATTCCGTTTGTAACACCTCGAAATACACATTTTAGACCCCACAAAATATATATATTCTTTATCAGCATAAAATTCTATGTCGATTTAGCGATGTCCGTCCGTCTGTGGAAATCACTCTAGCTTCCGAACGAATTGAAATAGATTGATAAAATTTTGCTCAAATGTATGTTATGTCTGCAGTACTTTTGGTATTGAAAGTGGGCAATGTAGGTTCACGTCTTCGTAGAGCCCCCATATAACGGTACCTCCCGATATTGGGTATTTTGATGATTTTAGAGACATTATTTACCGGAACTATTCCAAATTTATTATTTGAAGTTCATAATAAATACTACAACCTATGACAGAAAATTGTCTGTGCAGGTTCACGTCTTCTTATAGCCCCCACATAACGGTACCCTCCAATATTAGGTATTTTGATGATATTAGTTACATTATAAATAGACTTTTCTTCAAGTTTCGCATTTAAATATTGTAATAACTTATGACAAAAGTTGTCTATGCAGGTCCATGCATCGTATAGACATTTGGTATTTTTAAGATTTTAACAGAATTTTTAACGGATTTTATTTTATTTTATTTATTTATTTATTTTTTTGGAAATTGCCAAATTTGTACCGTATGGTGGAGGGTATTAAAAGTTCGGCCCGGCCGAACTTACAGCTTTTTTACTTGTTTATGACTAAACTAAGCCACATTGAAATTTTATGACGGTACTTTTTTCCAATATTACGGGTAGTCCGTTCGCTCAATGCGATATTTTTACTTTTATTCGTTTTTTGGGGGGAAGTTACCAGGAAGAATGACCTTTATGCCATATCAAAGTTGGTTTGTGCGAAGTTTGAAGAAAATTGAACAGCGATTTCACACCAAGTTATTTTTATGGGGTAGGCTCAGGAACGAGTGGACCAATATTGTTTATTTTCGCTCCTGACCTAAGTCTTATCTGGGCACAGATAGATCGACGAACATTCAGACATGACTACGATTTCAAATGTCCCGAAGGAGTACTCTTTCAAAGAGACCGAAAGTTTAAAATATTTGTTTCGACGAGGCACATTTTGGCCGAATCATATGATAGGTGCCTTCTGAAGCCATAAGACAGAATATAATAATTTTGAATGTGTTCTTTGTTATGCTTGTGTAAAATCGGTTCTTTTTAAGTAGCTACTATTATCTGAATGTTTCTGATGAGCTATAAAGTACTTTGTGGTTCCACTAAATATGCATTACTAGAGTCGAAACCGCATTTGAATTCCTATTCTATGAAGTTTTTCACGTGCCCTCATCGATTAATAAAGACTTACATCATATACACCTATCATTGTCATAGTGGGCTGATATATGCAAGTTTCAGTGTATTTTTCCTTCTCCACAAAGAATATTGATTACTCAGGAAGTTAAAATTTGACGCATGGAACTAACAAAATATTTTCATATACCACATAAGTTATAGGCTTAATATTTGGAATTTTGAAGGAGTTACCTACATTTTCTAAAGGTGTTGCTAAGATGGACTGTAAAATAAAAACCTTAAAAATATTCACGTGTATACATGTTCCTATAGAATTTATAGTTGTTAGAGGATGCATATTTATAGTCAACAAAACAAAAACAGTAAAAAAACACCCTCCACTATTTGAAAGGAAACTTGACAAATTTCAAAACAAAATTAGGTTGAAAATACCGCTCAACCCTTAAATGGTTCTGCATACGTAATGTTTAGTGTCATAGGCTGTAGTACCGATCCTGAACTTCAAATAAGAAATTCAAAAAAAAAAAAAAAAAACAGAGGAATAATGTCGCTGATATTATCAAAATACCGCATAAAGGGACGTAACTTTATAATTGGACTATACGAAGACGTTGACCTTCATGGAAATTTCGTCATAGATTGTGGTACCCATTACTGACCTTAAGTACGAAGCTTGAAACAATTTCGGAAAAAAAAACCGCAAGAATCATTAAAATACCGAATAGTGGGAGGTATTGTTTACGGGGGCTATACGAAAACGTAGACCGACATTTTCCTACCCACTGGCAAAATACAGATATGTGCAAAATTTTAGCCTTCCATCTCAATTCGTTCGAAAGATAAAGCAATTAAAATAGACATAAGGGCATCGCTAAATACGCTAAGAATGTTACGCTCATCAAGAAAATATATACTTTTTTAGGGTCTGAATACGTATTTCGAGAAATTACAAATGGAATGAAAAAGTTAATATACCCTCCACCACTTTCTTCCTTTTTTAAGAGACATTCTGTTTTTAATTGTTTCCACTTAACAGTTATAATGGTATTATTATTAGGTTTATTTAACTTTCTATAAAGACAAAAAACAATTTGGTTACCTCAAGAAACAACTAAGGATATACTAATGCTTGAAACCACAATTGAACTTAATCTTTCTGGAAAATAGAAAAAGCACCCCTCCCTCAAGATCAAGTGAAATAACAACGTCCCGAAATAAAATAAGTGAAAAATAGGCAGCTTTAAGTGTTGGTTTAAAAATTTCACACCATTTCCGCCAACACTAAAGTTAGCTGGCAGGGGGTTACACCTAAGACTCGACATCAACAAAATACACATACATCTAAACAGCAAGAAGCCAAAACCATGGATGGCCTTAAGCAGCAAGTCATGCCGCAACTAGGCAATTGATGTTGGGACCTCGTCGACTGTTGCATGGCAAAATTATGCTTCAAATTTGCAAGCATTATAAGCCACAAACAAATTGTGAAACAACAACAACAGCACCGACGTGAATGAAAATGACGACAATCCCACACAGGTTCTGAGGAGAAAGAACTACAGGCGGAGAGGAAAGTTATTTTCTCTTTTTCTTAGGTGCCCGCAAACCTTGTTGGGGGTGGGAGACTTGCACACACTCATACAAACACATTCCGGCTTTACGTGCCACATTATGATATATTTTTATTGCTGTTAACGGTGGCAATGACGATATCAACGGCTTTGGCGAAAGCCAACTAATATCCATAACTTCTTGAAGTCGCCCCCATTTGAAAGTTGTTTATTTTTATGGAATTGCAGTTAACTGAAGAGCGAGGAACGTGCATCGCTCGCTCGCTACAAGTTCTTGGAGTGAAGTTTTTGGATGTCGTGCTTGATTTTCTCTATTTTTTGGGTTTGCATAGAAAGGAAAAGCATATTCAGGATACATGAATATGACTTGTAGCTGCTAGACGTTTTGTAATTCGTTCGGTATTTGTATGAGTGTGTGAGAGGGAACGAATGCAAATAAATTCGATTTTATTTTTTGACTTGGAAAGTGTGCAAAAAGTGCATGACATTATTAAAATGTCGGATGGTATGTTGTATGAGCGAATTGCTGAATGGGAATGGTACATCTTTGATGGGCAAGTCGACATTTTATAATGCTACCTTTGTAAATCGGTAAAAGTTTGGAAGTTTTTAGCTAAAACTTTGTGGAATTTAGTCCAGTGTTTATACCCTTCACCACATCATGGAGGGTATATTAAGTTTGTCATTGCGTTTGTGATATCTCGAAATATACATTTTAGACCCCACAAATTATATATTCTTGATCAGCATAACATTCTATGCCGATTTAGCGATGTCCGCCCGTTTGTCCGTCTGTGGAAATTACTCTAGCTTCCGAACGAAATGAAGTAGGTTGATAAAATTTTACTCAAATGTATATTATGACTGTAGGACTTTTGGTATTGAAAATGGGTCAAGTAGGTCCACGTTTTGGTATAGCCCTCCCTACTTTCGGTATTTTAGTTATTTAAGCGGCATTAGTCACCGGAATAGTTTCAATATTTGAAGTTCGTAATGGATACTACTGCCTTAGACAGAAAATTGTCTGTGCAGGTCCACGTCTTCGTATGTCCCTCATATAACGGTACCTCCCGATATTTGGTATATTGATGATTTTAGCGAATTTATTCACCGGAATTGTTTCAAATTTGGTATTTAAAGTTCGTAATGAATACTACAGCCTAAGACAAAAAATTATCTGTGCAGGTTCACGTCTTCGTTTAGCCCCCATATAACGGTACCTCCCGATATTAGGTATTTTGATAATTTTAGCGACATTATTCACCGGAATTGTTTCAAATTTGGCATTTTAAGTTCATAATGGATACTACAGCCTAAGACAAAAAATTATCTGTGCAGGTTCACCTCTTCGTAAAGCCCCCATATAACGGTACCTCCCGATATTCGGTATTTTAAATATTTTAGCGAATTTATTCACCGGAATTCTTTCCCATTTGGTATTTAAAGTTCGTAATGGATACTACAGCCGAAGACAAAAAATTGTCTGTGCACGTCCACGTTTTGGTATAGCCCCCATATAACGGTACCTCCCGATATTCGGTATTTTAATGATTTTAGGTATATTCTTCACCAGAATTGTTTCAAATTTGGTCTTTGAAGTTCGTAATGGATACCACAGCCTACGACAGAAAATTGTCTGTGCAGGTCCACGACTTCGTATCGCCCCCATATAACGGTACCTCCCGATCTTCGGTATTTTGATGATTTTAGGAACATTTTTCACCAGAATAGTTTCAAATTTGGTCTTTGAAGTTCGTAATGGATACCACAGCCTAAGACAAAAAATTATCTGTGCAGGTCCACGTCTTCGTATAGGCCCCATATAACGGTACCTCCCGATCTTAGGTATTTTAACGATTTTAGGGACATTTTTCACCAGAATTGTTTCAAATTTGGTATTTGAAGTTCGTAATGTATACCACAGCCTAAGACAAAAAATTGTCTGTGCAGTCCACCTCTTCGTAAAGCTCCCATATAACGGTACCTCCCGATATTCGGTATTTTAATGTTTTTAGCGACTTTATACATCTGAATTATTTCAAATTTGGTATTTGAAGTTCGTAATGGATTCTACAGTCTATGACAGACAATTGTCTGTGCAGGTCCACGTCTTCGTATAGCCCCCATATAACGGTACCTCCCGATATTCGGTATTTTGATTTTATCGACATTATAACCGATTTTTTTTAAGTTTCGCATTTAAATATTTTAATGGCTTATGACAACTGTTACCTACACAGGTTCATGTTGTCGAATAGACTTTAACATAATAGCTACATTCGGCACTTTTAAGATTTTAACAGAATTTTTAACGGATTTTATTGTTTTTGAGAATTGCCAAATTCGTTCCAAATGGTGGAGGGTATTCAAAGTTCGGCCCGGCCGAACTTACATCTTTTTTACTTGTTTAAATGTGTCATATCTTTAAACTTCTAAAGCAAAAATACTTATTCTTTACTTTAGATTTACGTTCATTGATAATTCTATCGCCATGGAGATGGTGTCCTTTGTTTTTAGCTGTATGTGCCATTATCTGATATACATTTCGCGACTTTCTACATTTCATATTTAAATCCTGTAGCTGTTTGCGTCATTTCACCGGTTCATACAAGTTTGCACATTTAATCATAAATTTCAATTAGAATTTTAATAAGCTTCTCCAAATACCTTCCACAATCAATTGTACAATTTTCCATCTCAATTATTTCTTCACTTCAAATTAATGTGCAAAGGTCTCTTGAGGAGCATAATGTCGACAATGGAACACTTTCGCTGCAACCTAGTTTCAACGTCCCCCTCCCCCTCCTGAATTTGTGTGCCAAATTGCAAGCATCACCCACCATTTGGGCAACTCATTATTAGCTGCTTCAAACATTCCAACACCAAAATAAGGTCATCATTATGAAATACAAAAAATCGACGATGTTTCTAAATGACCGGAAATATAAAGTCTTGTTAATGTCATAATATTTGACACCTGTTTATGGCTGACACTCGACATTCAACAAGAGCTACAGAAAGCGATAACAACATGCAACAAACATGCAGCCTTGTTGTGGATGTCGTCGACGACGACGACGTTCCACCGACACACACACACACACACACACACACAACCAAACTTGTAGAAAAACTCGTTGTGTGTATTCAAAGTCTGAACAACAACAAAAATAATACTACAACAAAGTGAACAACAACATCAATGTTGACCTACATTATTAAATTTTTAACAATCACACCATGTCGCTGTCAATCTCGACGTTTGGTGGGTGTGTATGTATGTGTGTGGGAATGAAAATCAGTGGAATAAGTAAAGGTATTTATGAATATATGGGTGGGTGAAAGTATAGCGGATGACTTTTAATAGCCTCCTATTTGGAAAATAAAAACGCACACGCATACACACTCGTATTGGTTGTGGCCAACCAACCAACCACCCGGTCCGCCTACTCACCCCGAAAAACCACTTTGTTGAACGTGCTCGTTATGATGCGCAATTCAGGATTTGGCGTTTCACCAATTTGCACCATTAGTGAAAGTCCAACAATGCCTTGGGATTTGTGCTGTGCTTCGGACATATTATGATACAATTCCTTGTTGAAGCCATAAATTTGTATCTGCAACAAGAACAACAAAAGAGAGAAATATGAAATTTTCACACACACAAACACACACACAAAATGTTTCAATGAATGCATGCATTTTCAATAATTTAATTTCGCATAGACGAAAGACGAAAGCCTTTGTATTACTCACCTCTCCGGGAAAACTATAGCCTTGTACATAGTGCTCCGAGCCACGTGTGTCCTGGGTACCGTAGTGTATATAAATTTCTTCGAATTGATATTTATATGCCAGTGGACCACCGGATATATTGACGTGTTGTTTGGTATCTTTGTCAACACGAAATACCAGCGATTGTCCGGTATTGTGCAATGTTCCAGAAACCTATGGTTTTGAAGAGGAGATGCAAAGAAGCCAATCAATTTTTATTCGTTTCGAAATGAAGCGAATTAAATAAGAAGTGAGAAACTAAAATTATTATTATTCAAATATAAAACTAATAAAGAAAATCCTAAAGTCGGCGGGGCCGATTTTATGATACCCTACACCACTTTGCTAAGTTAGTTGAGCTCCACATAACAATTAAAAGTATTTATGGGAGAATTCAATCATACACCCTATGATTATAATTATAATTTAAAGTTCAAAGGACTAAATATGCCGAAGCATTTGTATCTTTTAAATTCGGAATTGTATTGCCCATTTGGTGCACAATTAATTTGAAATCGGATGAAGATATATATGGGAGCTATATCCAAATCTGAACCGATCTCGATAAAATATGACAAAGATATTTCTGAGCTGTATTTGATATATTTCCCTGAATATCGTTGTTACGGAGTGCATATTACTGCTGTGGGGAACAAATACAACAAATCGGATGAACAATATATATGGTAGCTATAGCTATATCTGAACCGATCTTCACCAAATTTGGTCGTATGTGCCAAATTCCATCCCATCGAAGTTATATATGGGAGCTATATTCAAATATAATCTCCATAAAATTTAGCAAATGTATTTCTGAGCTGTATTTGATATATTTCCCAAAAAATTGTTGTTACAGAGTGCATATTACGGCTGCGGAGGACAAAAATAACAAATCGGATGAACAGTATTTATGGAAGCTATAGCTATATCTGAACCGATTTCGATCAAATTTGGCATACTTATTTTCAGGTCCAATCTGATCGTAGGTGCAAAATCCCATACTATTCGTACTGATATTACACGTTTGGTGCACAATAAAAAGCAAATCGGACGAAGATATATATGGGAGCTATATTTAAGTTTTTACCGATTATCTCCAATTTCAATAGGGTTCGTCCTTGGGCCAAACAAATGTTGTTTGGAAAATTTCATCTCAATCGGATAATAAATGCGACCTGCATTTTGTTCACAAGAATACATGGACAGACGGACTGACATGCATAAATCAACTCAGAAAGTGATTCTATGGAGATCCTCAAAAGTAACTATGGGTCTATCTCGCTTCCTTTTGCCTGTTACAAACAACTGCACAAAGACATAATACCCTCACCACCTTGTGGTGTAGGGTATAAAAATCAAACGTTTGTGTTTATACCCTCCACCAAACATTGTACGGAGGATCTAAAAAGTCCATAATTCCGTTTGTAACCCATCGAAATAATAATTCAGACCCAACAAAGTATATATATATATTCTTGATCAGCGTACAATTCTAAGATGATTTAACCCTATCCGTCCATCCCCCCATCTATTGTGAAAATCTAGAATCAAAACGAATAAGTATAGGAAGCTAAAATTTTGCACCAATCTCTCTTTTGTCTGTAGGCAGATCAAGTTCGAAGATGGGCTATATCTGCTATATCTAAGATGTCGTGTAGCCCCCCGTATAACGGTACACCTGATCTTCGGTATTTTGATGATTTTAATCAAAATTTTCAATGAAATTGTTTGAAGGCGTTCTTTGTGACTACTTTACCCCCTGAAAAATAATTGTCTATATAGGTTCACGATATCGTATATCCTCGATATAACGATACCTCCCGATATTCGGTATTTTGATGATTTTAGCCACATTTTTTATGGAATTGTATGAAATTCTACACAATGATTTCTCTTTGTGTACTTTACCCCCCTGAAAGAGAAATGTCTTTATAGGTCCTCAATATCATATTGCCACAATACAATGGCGCTCCGCGATACTGGGTATTTTGATGATTTTAGCCACATTTTCCAATGGAATAGTCTGAAAATCCACACAAGGAGTTCCCTCTGAGTACTTTACCCCCTGGAAGAAAATTGTCTATACGTTTTTGTATAGCAACCATATAACGCTACGCAAATTTAGTATTTGAAGTTCGTTATGGGTATAACCACGTATTGGTACCTCCCTTTATTTCGTATTTGAAATTCGGAATCGGTGCTACAGCCTATGACAAAAAATACTTATCCAGCACCACGTCTTAGTATAGCCCACATATAAAGGTTTTCATTGGAAATTTTTCGACGGAATTTTTCTTTCCTTCCGAATGGTGGAGTGTATAAAAAGTTCGACCCAGCCCAACTTAGCTTCTTTTTTACTTGTTTTCTCTCTCATAAATTTTCAAAATTAGAACTTTATTTCAATGTTATGAGATTTTTTAAATTTGTCCTTTTCGAACTTACCTTGTGTTTGTCTATATGCAATGGCCTCAGAAATGGATCGAACAGCAATTTATCTGGCACAATATCGATGGGCGACTGTCGTCTACCTTTGTTGCACATATTCCATTGTGGATTTATAAGGCCCCAAAAACTTGGTCCTGAAAAAAAAAAATATAATAAATATCATGAATTATTGGTGATGAATAATAACTGTTGCATTGTGTAGGTCATTGATGTTCTCTTCAAAGTGTCATGTATTTTGCATTACGATAGCATACAAAATTCTTCATCGGTTATAAAGTTTAGTGAGAACATACTTAACATGTGAATTTTAGTAGCATCTCATGTGTTATACTAATACATCATTACTAGAAAGGGGTTTAAATATTAATTACTCTTCTGCCCTCAAAATTCTGTTGGAGAGTCATATTTTATCTTGACATTAATATTTTGGCTTTCTGACTTATCTATTAATACCTTCCTTCGCACCGAAACTTTTGAAAATTTGACACAGTAGAGTTCGACGTATTGATAAGCAACTCTTCTTTAAGCGAAAATGTGCACAACTCCTATACAGGGTGAGATAAAAAACAGCAACAAAGTCAAACGCCATAACTTTTAAATTTTTATACCCTCCACCATACGATGGAGGGTATATTAACTTTGTCATTGCATTTGTAACTCCTCAAAATACTTATGTCAGACCCAACAGAGTAAATATATTCTTGATCAGACTGTCTACCTGTCCGTCTGTGGTAATCATGCTATCTTTCGAACGAATTGAGATACAAGGCTAAAATCTTGCACACATGATTATTTCACCAGTAGGCAGGTTAAGTTCGTAAATGGGTAATGTAGGTCCACGTTTTCATATAGCCCCCATATAAAGGTACCTCCCGATATTCGGTATTTTGATGATTTTAACTATATTGTTCACCGGAATTTTTTCAAATTTGGTTTTTGAAGTTCGAAATGGATAGTACAGCCTATGACAGAAAATTGTTTTTAGAGGTCCACGACTTCGTATAGCCCCCATACAACGGTTCCTCCCTATATTCGGTATATTTATGATTTTTGCGACATTTTTCACCTGAATTGTGTCAAATTTGGCATTTGAAGTTCGTAATGGGTACTACAGGTTTGACAGAAAATTGTCTGTGCAGATCAACGTATTCGTATTCGGTATTTTGATGATTTAAGGGCCATTATTCACCGGAGTAGTTTCAAATTAAATATTTCGAGTTCGTAATGGGAACTACAGTCTGTGACGGAAAATTGTCTATGCAGGTCCAAGTCTTCGTATAGGCCCTATAAATCAGTACCTTTCGATATTCGGTACTCTGACGATTTTAGGTACAATACTCACCGCCATTGTTTGAGATGTCGTATTTGAAGTTTGTAATGGATGCTATAGCCTGTGATAGGAAATTGTCAGGTCCAGGACTTGAACAGGTCCAGGACTTCGTATAGCACCGATATAACGGTACCTCCCTATATACGGTATTTTGAGGATTTTAGTTACATTATTCACCGTTTATTTCAAGTTTCGAATTTGAAAAAAAACAATGCCTTTATAGGTCCGCGTCGTATAGACCCCAATATAACGGCTACATTGGGTATTTTTAAGATTTTAACAGAATTTATAACGGATTTTATTTTTTGAAAACTTCCAAATTCGTTCCAAATGGTGGAGGCTATTCAAAGTTCGGCCCGGCCGATCTTACTGCTTTCTAACTTGTTTTTTTTTTCTTTTTAATTTATTGAATGAATGCAAAAAATGTCGGAAGTGGCATAAAATTTTAGAATAAGATTTAGATTTGTTCGAAATGGCCACCTTTGGCAGAAATTATGGCTTTCAAACAGTCAATGAAACCGTCACACGCTGCTGGAATGTTGCTCTGCGGTATTTTGGCCCATTCGCGGCGAAACGCTTGCATGAGGTGATCTACACTTTGGTATTTTTTAGTGCCAACCTTGCTTTCCAAAATACTCCAGACAAAATAGTCTAACGGATTGGTATCCAGAGATTTTGGTGGCCATTGTGCACTGGAAATGAAGCGGGGAACCTCATTCTGTAACCATTCTTGGGTGGCGCATGCTGAGTCCTATTGGAATATAAGGAAATCAAACTACCATGCTTGAATTCCCTCACGAATAAGTTTTATTTCTGGAAAATTCTCACCAAAAAGCTTTTGTACTCTTGTAAGCAATATAATGAACTGTCACTGGAATAATTTTAACAGCTGTCAGACAAGTGGCTTAGAAATGACAGCAGTCTGAAATTGGTTGCAGTTTTTTTTATCTTACCCTGTCTTTGTAATGGCGCCCAATGCGCTCGAAAATCAAACTTTTTACCGGAAAATATACTTATCAATTTTATTTCTTATGACATTCACTTTGTTTCTGTTTCAGAAACATTTTATTAGCCTCATCCATTTTCCAAGTGTCAAAGAACAAAAAAAAAGAACAAAGGTGCCTTATAAATAACAGCAAATAAAAATGGACGTTGATTGTAAATATTAACCAAAGGATATTAATAAATGTTGCCAATACCATCAGCACACAATGTGGTTACACATGTTTCGTTTTTTTGCATTTTGAATATTTGAATTTTTTGCCAAAGGGGTATACAAATGGACTGACGCGTAGAGTAACCAGGGTGTGACTTGAGGAGGCCTTCGGCATAAATTAAGTAATAAAATGGATATTCTTTTCATTCGAGGAATCGTTTTTATACTGCATTTGTGGGAATAATTTCTTGGAATTGTCCTATGCCACTACTTCGTATTATTCAAGGCTGTCCGGAGGTAACACCAAGTTAAATTTTCCCTATAATATGTTTTCATAAGAAAGGGCTCTTCATTGTATAAAACAAAAATGTTGAAATATTGACTTTCACAATAACCCTGTGTTCTCTCTGCATTGAATCCTGTCATGTGTTGCTGATGTTGCTACCAGTGTTATTGTTTCCAACATTTATACATACATATATTTTCCTTTTTTCATGGAATACAATCCTTTTTTATACCCTCCACCATACATAGTATGGAGGGTATATAAAGTTCGTCATTCCGTTTGAAATTCCTCGAAATATTCATAATAGACCCTACAAAGTACATATATTCTGGATCAGCGTAAAGTTCTAAGACGATCTAGTGATATCCGTCTGTTGTAACCACGTTATCTTTCGAACGAATTGAGATAGAAAGCCAAAATTTTGCATAGATGCATAGTTTGGCAGTAGGCAGGATAAGTTCGTAAATGGGCCATGTCGGTCCACGTTTTCGAATAGCCACCATACAACGGTACCTTCCTATATGGGCAAAAAAACCGTATGCAGGCTCTCGTTTTCGTGTATCCCCCATATAAAGGTACCACCCGATATTCGATATTGTAGTGATTTTAGCTACATTATTCACTGGAACTGTTTAAAATTTCGTATTTGAAGTTCGTTATGGGTACTACAGCCTATAACAAAAATTTTTGTATGCAGGTCCACGTCTTCGTATAGCCCCCATATAACGGTTTTCATTTAAGTGGTAGTTTTCTGAATTTTTATACTCTACGCCACAAGGTAGTCAGGGTATTATGTCTTTTTGCATTTGTTTGTAACAGGCAAAAGGAAACGAGATAGACCCATAGTTCCTTTTGATGATCTGCATAGAATCACATTCTGAGTCGATTTATGCATGTTCGTCCGTTCGTCTGTCCATGTATTTTTGTAAACAAAGTACAGTTTGCAATTATTGCCCTATCCAGATGAAATATTTCACAAAACATTTGTTTGGCCCAAGGACGAACCCTATTGAAATTGGAGATAATCGGTCAAAATTTAGATATAGCTCCCAAATATATCTTCAACCGATTTGCCTTTTATTGTGCACCAAACGTATAATATCAGCCCAAATAGTATGGAATTTTGCACATACAACTAAATTAGGCCTGAAAATAAGTATGCCAAATTTGATCGAAATCGGTTCAGATATAGCTATAGCTCCCATATATATTGTTCATCCGATATGTTTTTTTTTGTCCTCCGCAGCCGTAACATACACTCTGTAACAACAATATTTGGCGAAATATATCAAATACAGCCCAGAAATACATGTGCCAAATTTTATGGCGATCGGTTCAGATTTGGATATAGCTCCCATATATAACTTCGTCCGATTTACCTTAGATTGTGCACCAAACGTCTAATATTTGTCCAAATGGGATGGTGTTTGGCACTTAGGACCGAATTTAGTCTAGAAGTTAGTACGTTAAATTTGGTGAAGATCGGTTCAGATATAGCTATAGCTCCCATATATAATGTTCATCCGATTTGTTTTATTTGTTACCCACAGCCGTAATATGCACTCCATAACAACGATATTCAGGGAAATATATCAAATACAGCCCAGAAATACATGTGCCAAATTTTATCGAGATCGGTTCAGATTTGGATATAGCTCCCATATATAACTTCGTCCGATTTACCTTATATTGTGCACCAAACGTCTAATATTTGTCCAAATATTTGGCACTTAGGACCGAATTTAGTCTAGAAGCTAATGTGTGAAATTTGGTGAAGATCGGTTCAGATATAGCTATAGCTCCCATATATACTGTTCATCCGATTTGTCATATTTGTTACCCACAGCCGTAATATGCACTCCGTAACAACGATATTCAGGGAAATATATCAAATACAGCTCAGAAATATCTTTGCCAAATTTTATCGAGATCGGTTCAGATTTGGATATAGCTCCCAAATATATATCTTTATCCGATTTCAAATTAATTGTGCACCAAATGGGCAATACAATTCCGCATTTAAAAGATACAAGTGCTTCGGCATATTTAGTCCTTTGAACTTTAAATTATAATTATGATCATGGCGTGTATGATTGAATTCTCCCATTAAAACTTTTAATTGTTATGCGGGGCTCTACTAAATTAGCAAAGTGGTGTAGGGTATCATAAAGTCGGCCCCGCCCGACTTTAAGACTTTCTTTACTGTTTTTTTTTTTTTTTTGTTTTTGTAATTTTTCAAGTTCCCTCCAAATGGTGGAGGGTATTAACAGTTCAGCCCAGCCGTACTTAGCTGCCTTTTTACTTGTTTCTCTCTCTCCATTTCTGCTTGTAGTCCCGTTGTTCGAAAATGTTGAAAATTATC